TATCGAAACCCGGTTTCTAGCATTGTAAGTCCGCAGACATACCGCTGTGCCACTGGGGGGCTGCGATTAGTAACAAAGGCTTAAAAGTAGAGTAATTTCCTCTTGCTATGCGTTATTGTTATGATCAGAACTAGAGAGAGAGTTGGGAGTGGCTGGGTGAGTGGACTATGAAATATCTCTCATCTAAGCAAACAGTGCTCTTATAAATCAAGATATAGTGGGCGGATCCTATATTTGTAGTTTGTAAGACAAAACTAAAACTAACTGGAACTTATGGATTTTGTACGGTCAAATTAGTGTTTATGTGTATTAAACGATAGTGTTTGGATCTTCATCACCGGGCTAATTTATATGGTTTTTTCCAGTTAGTTTCTAGTTTACTTACTAGAACATATGTTTTCAAGTGATGTTTGCAAAGAGCTTTGGAAAGGCCCTTGAAAACAAAGTTATTTTTACATATACCTTAATATATATATATATAACTTAGTCTCTAGTGTTATCACCAGATCTGTACTAATCCACAACATGTGGAGACTGCTATTATATTAGGTCGTGGTTCGCTGGGACTTCGTCGCTCATGTCGAAAGAATCCGCAACGCCCAAGGTCTCCCATTGGCTCAGGTGGAAACTCGAGGCTTATATCGTTAAATTCTGGATTCGATCCCTGCTCTTAAACAAACAAAGACTGGGAGTCACTGCACTGGAGGCACGACTACCTCTCGCTGCTGGAGGCACGATTATCTCTCCCTGCTGGAAAATGAAATCGAAACTTATTTGATTGGACAGTAACGGATTCACATATTTCATGCTTGAATTGTTTGCCGATATAAGTAGTATATCGTGTAACAGCTGAGGTAAACTTAAGCTTTGATAAAATCCAAAATCTAAACATTTATTCTTATGCAACGTGCTTTGCAGAATAAATAACGCATGTCCTAGTAATTATCAACGTTGGCTATTGTATAATGTTGGATTTGGAACGTACACACAAAGCAATGGCTCAGTAAGTACAAATGTAATAGTGTAAGAATTACTTGGAACATTTCATTGCGGCTTCAAAGGTACAAAATTATTTACATTTTGAAAATAACATTCCAACATTTTCTCATACAGGACACCCACTTTCATGGGTGCTTGACGAAAGCAAACTATCAAACTATAGTCAAACTTGTAATCCAAGTCTAAGCAAATACAATGTATCTATTAGCGTTTAACAACTAGAATACATAAAATTCAAATATTATATACAAACCACTCTTATTTAATCCATAGGCAAGGCGGTTGTCAAATACTGAAAACAAAGTTGCCCAATATTTATTTATTTAAGAAAGAGATTTATAGTATCAATAACATAAAGCTTTGCAAGAGTGGACGTTATTTTACAAATTTAAATAATCAGCATTATGTAGTAAATCACAACAGATTTGTTACGCTTCGTAACTTAAATAAGTTAATAGAGGAACAAGCGCTCACACATGCTGATATACAGTACCATTTACTCTGGTAAATCACTAAGTTTTACAATGCAAAGTTAGGGCGCTCGACTCACAATCTGTGGGTCGCGGGTTCGAATCTCCCTCACACCAAACATGCTCGCCCTTTCAGCCGTGGGGGCGTTATAATG